CATATATTTGAGCTTATACATTGTGACTTGTGGGGTCCGTACAATACCCCAGCGTTTTGTGGAGCACGACATTTTTTAACTATTGTTGATGATTTCTCTTGTGCTGTTTGCGTTTATTTGCTAGTAGATAAAACTGAGGTATTTTCTATGTTTATGTCCTTTTGCGCCATGGTGGATAGACATTTCTCTCAACAAATTAAAGTGGTGCGTAGTGATAATGGCACAGAATTCAATTGCCTTAAGGATTTTTTTAGTGCCTCGGGCATTCTTTTTCATACTTCTTGTGTTGCCACACCTCAGCAAAATGGACGTGTGGAGCGCAAGCATCGACACATACTCAACGTTGCCCGAGCTTTGAGATTTCAGGCGCATCTTTCGATCCAATTTGGGGGCAAATGCGTTCTGACTGCAGCACATCTTATTAATTGCACCCCGTCTGCCATTCTTGATCATAAAAGCCCCTACGAAGTTTTGTTTCAAAAATTACCTAATTATGAGGCACTTCGGGTCTTTGGCTGCCTATGTTTTGCTCATAACCTTCGCTCAGCTCGGGATAAGTTTGTTAGTCGCACCCGGAAATGTCTCTTTGTTGGATACCCATGTGACAAGAAAGGGTGGAGAGTCTATGATCATTAAACTCAGGAATTCTTTGTCTCCCATGATGTCAAATTTTTTGAAGATCAGTTTCCCTTTGCCACAATACCATCAGATACCTCTCAGGATGATCCAACTCCTGTGCCAGTGCTAGATGTTTGGGAATACCCCATTGCCACTCAGCCGACTATCACCGAGATTCCTTCTTCGGAGCCTGATCCTCTGCCTTCTACTGATGCATCACCTCCATTATCTGCGACCTCATCTGACGAACTGGGTCGTGGCAAACGCATCCGGATGTCGTTTGTTAAATTGCAGGAATATTATGTAACTCATACCGTGGTGCACGACAGTCTATTCCCCAGTCATCCTACTCCTCCCTCCTCCTCAGGTATTCCGTTTCCTATAGCTCATTACATTAATTGTGATAACTTTTCTTCTCGATATCGTCAGTTTTTGGTAGCTATTTCTGTTCATAAGGAACCCGCCTCCTTTTCTGAGGCGGTTCAAGATGCTGGTTGGCGGGATGCTATGCGTAATGAGATCCGGGATCTTGAACAAAATCAAACTTGGACTCTTCAACCCCTTCCACATTGAAAACGCGTTTTATGGTGTCGGTGGGTCTACAAGATTAAGTATCACTCTGACGGCACTGTTGAACGTCTCAAAGCCTGTTTAGTTGTTTTTGGTAATCGTCAAGTTGTTGGACTTGATTACACAGAAACATTTGCCCCATTGGTTAAAATGGTCACTGTTCGGGCCTTCTTAGCGGTTGCAGCTTCTAAAAATTGGGAGCTTCACTAGATGGATGTGCGTAATGCTTTCTTACATGGGGACTTAGCCGAAGAAGTCTATATGGAGATCCCTCCCGGGTACACTACTTCTGATTCTTCCCTTGTGTGTCGCCTACATAAATCACTCTATGGCTTAAAGCAAGCCCTCCGTTGTTGGTTTGCAAAATTAGTCGATGCCCTTCGACGTTATGGTTTTATTCAATCCTATGCGGATTACTCTTTGTTCACTCGGACTCAGGGATCCGTTCAGCTGAATGTTCTGGTCTATGTCGATGACCTAATTATTTCTGGCAATGATCATGATGCTATACTTCATTTCAAAACTTATCTTAGCACGTGTTTTCATATGAAAGATTTGGGAACACTGTGCTATTTTCTTGGCATTGAAGTAGCCCGAAACCCTTCAGGTCTGTTTCTTACACTCTGGATATTCTGACTGAAACCGGTCTCTTAGGGGCCAAGCCAGCGGCCTTTCCTATTGATCAGAATCACTCCCTTGCTAAAATTGAGGGGCCTTTACTTTCTGATCCTGACTATATCGCCGATTACTTGGTCGACTCATTTATCTGGCTGTCACTTGTCCTGACCTGGCATACTCAGTTCACATTTTATCACATTTTATGCATGCTCCTTGCCAGGCTCACTGGGACGCTGCTCTTCGTGTGGTTCGGTATCTTAAAGGTTCTCCTGGACAGGGTATCCTCCTGCGGGCTGACAGTGATCTATCTTTAACCGGATGGTGTGATTCTGACTGGGCTGCTTGCCCTATCACATGACGCTCTTTATCTGGGTGGTTGGTTTTTCTAGGTCACTCGCCTGTCTCCTGGAAAACTAAAAAACAATCTACAGTGGCTCGCTCGTCAGCTGAAGCTGAGTATCGTGCCATGGCTGCTGCAACCTGTGAACTCAAATGGTTAAAGGCCCTGCTTTTAAGCCTTGGTGTTCAGCACCCTAAGGTTATCCCTCTCTTTTGTGATAGTCAGTCAGCTTTGCATATTGCTCGTAATCCAGTCTTTCACGAGCACACCAAACACATCGAAGTTGATTGTCATTTTGTTCGAGATGCCCTCAAAGACGGACTTATCGCCCCTAGCTATGTTCCTACTACTATTCAACTTGACGATATTTTCACTAAAGCTCTTGGCAAGACTCAGTTCCATTATCTTCTTCGCAAGTTGGACATTCTCGATCCGCATGCTCTAACTTGAGGGGGGTATTACGAGAGATACCTATTTTAGGATAGTTGGTATTTTTGATCACATCATTCATTAGCATTTATTTATAATATCTTCTTTCCTTGTATTAATATGTAATGAGTATATTTATACTCTAGAGCATCTCGGTTGTATGGCACAGAATTGAGCACGTTTGAGGAGGTGAATCCCAAGCTGGCGTGATTGACATCCTTTGCTGCAGGTGGATTTGGGGTTTTGAATAACTTCTCCATGGCAGGTGGATTACGTGCAACTGCTGCCGATTGAAGAACTTTTCCGAAAACGCCCCTCACATAACTACCCAGACAGAATATGTTGAAATCCGGGCCGCAGAGGAGATTTCGGCAATCGTGAACCAACGAGTCTCCTTCGGCAGACCCAAGAAATTGATGGGAATTCTATTGTGCAATTTTTCCTCTTCTATGTTATTGCTTAAATAGAAGCATGGCTGCTGGAAAAGTTCACCAAAATAATTATCAAAAATGATGTTTGTACAGATTCTTATACACACTTTTGTACACACCTATATCTGTGAAAACTTTTTTTTTGTCTGTGAACATCGATTCATAGACAATGTTTTGCACAAACAAAATATTGTCTGTGAACCGGATTCACAGACAAAAATAAAAGCTTCAAAGACATGGTGTGTACAAGGGTGTGTACATCAAACATGGTTGAGCCGTGTTTAGAATGGAGAGACAAGGGGATGCCTGGCCTGAGTAGGCACGTTAGTCAGATGATAAAGACAACGGTTAATCTTAAATTGAAATGTTATCAAAATAAGTGGATTATGTGTTAATTTGGTTCACTTAAAAGCTAAGTGTCCAATTCGAGATTCATAAATAAAAAATGCTACAGGTACCCCAATTATACCCCAAATTATACCCCATATAAATACCCTCCCAAAAATTTACCTTACTCTCTCATCTCCCTTTTCCCCTCATCTCCCTTTCCAAATATCCCTCTTTTCCAGCCTTTCCCTTTCCCACGAAAAATCAAACCCCTCACAGCCCTCACCCCTCGCGTCGCAGACCTCCCTAACCCTGTCATCTTCGGCCACCGGCCTCACTCCTCGCGAAGCAGCTTAAAGGCGACCTAGAGCTTCCACCGGATCTACATACAAGCTTCAGTGCAAGCTTGTTCGGACTGCTCTAGCAGAAGACAGCTCCGGCAAGCGTTCTCGTTTCTGATTTCTGAAAATTTTCTGGTATCTCTGTGATGTGGCGTTGTTCCGGCAGAAGACAGCTCCGGCAAGCTTCAAGTATTTATCCCTTCTTTGCCGCAAAACTACAGAATGATGCCGCTTTGTAGCAGGATCATCATCTTTATGCCGCTAGCATGATAATCCCAGAACTGAGCATTCCTATTTTTTCAAATGGATTTTAGGAGCTTTTAATTTATTTTTTCCAGAATTTATGTATATTTTGTATGCTATAACATTGAATAATTGCATATTTATGAAGATTGTAAGAGATTGAGATGCTAGTTATTAGTTTTTTATTCCCACTACTCTATTTTATTTGATGTCCATAACATGTTTGTTGAAATGACTCAATGAAAAGAGTTGTCTGGCATTCCATTTGATTTGTTTGTAATGTGAAAATAGTTATCTGTCGTGGTATTTTGAATAATATGTAATTGGTTTGGAGTTGTATGTCAATTTATTTTGAATTGTTTAAAATTGGTTTATAGTTGTCTGTCATGTGAAAGTAGTTGTCTGCCAAGACATATTAGTTATCCGGCACGTTAAATCCAATTGTTTAAAATTGATTTGTAGTTGTCTGTCATGTGAAAGTAGTTGTCTGGCAAGACATTTGAATTGTCTGTCAATTTATTTTAAATTGTTGAAAATAGTTTTGTAGTTGTTTGTCAGGTAAAATTAGTTCTCAGGCAACCCATTTGAATTATCTTGCACGTCATTTGGAATTCATTAAAATTGGCTTGTAGTTTTCTGTCATGGGAATTGACTTCTCTACCAATGTATTGCAACAAATCGTCTGTAATGTGATATAAAATGTATGACCTTTCTTCTGAGTTGTCTGTCTACAGGTCGGGAGAATGTGCAGTGATGGTGGCTTCCTTTGCGAAGCATCTGTTAATGGGAAACCATTGATTCCAGGTTGTGAGTATGCAAACATGTGAAACAAGAGATGTCAATACGTTGTTCGTTTGTGGTGATTGATGAGTTTAGTAAAACTGTATTTTCTAGTACATTTTGATAAGTTTAGTAATTGTTAATGTGGTTATATAAAAGTGTTCGGAGATATGATTGTATTTGTTAATGTACACCCCATTGAATAGATAAACAACAAAGATAACCAGACAGACATTACTTTCATGCAGAAAGACAATAACTTTCAGCATTGAACATGTAACATTGTTCAATATTCAACACATTTTCCCAACTGTATATGAAAAAATTACATGTTCAAAAAACCACAAGTTCAAAACGGACACATTTTCCCAACACTCTATACTTCAGCATTCTTCAAGACTAGTGCATATAATCCCTTGCAAAAGAAGTCACATGGTATCATTTTTGTAAATGAATTAGCGTTCACTTGGAACTGTTCTTCAGCCTTACATTTTAAGTCATTCGTCAGCTTGAAGTGAATACCTACGATTAATACACAACACGTAGTCAGAACACATATTTGGCACAAATAACATATGTGAAGCATAGTCAATTTGTCTGTAAGAGACAACTATTGTCTGGCACAACCAACTTTTGTCTGGCTGTAAGACAAAGAGTAGTTAATTGGTCAAGACTACTAATGTCTGGCCCAGACAAAATTTGTCTGGCTGTAAGACAGAGAGTAGTTAATTGGCCCAGACTATTAATGTCTGGCCCAAACAAAATTTGTTTGGCTGTAAGACAGAGAGTAGTTGATTGACCCAGACTATTAGTGTCTGGTCCAGATAAAATTTGTCTGACTGTAAGACATATAGTAGTTAATTGGCCCAGACTACTAATGTCTGGCCCAGACAAAATTTATCCGGCTGTAAGACAGAGAGCAGTTAATTGGCCCAGACTACTAATGTCTGGCCCAAACAAAATTTGTCTGACTGTAAGACAGAGAGTAGTTAATTGGCCCAGACTTTAATACAAAACCGCGTTCATTTTAGGCTAGACAAACACTGCATTTCAATATTGTCTGTCCGCCAAACAAAATACAAACAAATGACAAAAAAACAACATACTCTGCTCCAAGTCTTCAATGTCCACACCTTCATCATCTTCTTCCCTTGTGGTACAAAAAATGGAAAAAAAGTCTTGAATTTCAACAAAAACTTCATTGAGTAATTTCTACAAACATGTTATGGACATAAAATGAACTAGAGAAATTACACTAACATTTTAATTAATTAACACCTCTAAATGATTGCAATGAAACAAACTAATCAATTATTCACTTCTATATCATACATTCATACATAATACACATAAAATCGAAAAAAGGAAAAAAATAAAATAAAAAACGCACATGAGGAAAAATCGGAAAATAGAGTACGTACCTCAATATTTGAGAAGAGATGGTTACCTTAGAGACAACTAGATGTGGAGGCCTTGAAACCTTCAAAAATGGAGATGAGAGCTCTTGAAATGAAAGAGAGGGTGTGGGATGAGAGATGTTTGGAGGGGTAAAAAATGGTAAAAATAGGAAGGCTTTTATATGAGGTACAAATTGGGGTAGGATTGGGGTACCTATAACATTTTTGTTCATAAATATTCTTAGTGTCCTTTTTTAGCCTTCTCCCATTCAAAGAATGCTAAAGTTTCAAAAATCGTTAATGATTATTATTTCCAGTAATGTAATGTATATAACTTTTAGTTGTATCATACGAAGTATATGTGTAGCTTTACAACTTAATTAATATGACTTAAATCTTCTCTTACGGTGCAACTATAAATTAGAAATAATATTCAACCGAGAACAAAAAAAGAAGAATGTTGAACTTTTCTATTATATTCAACAATTTCATAGTATTCTTTTTATATTTTAACATTGAGTTAATTATCAAAATAGGACTAAAAGTCATTCACTTTTCACAAATAGGACCAAAAAATGAACTATGTTTGCATAGGACTCATTATGTGTACCTTGGACAATTATACCCTTATAGCTATTAAAATGTTTTAATTCCTAATAAAATAATAAAAAATAATAAAAATTCGTAAAAAATACTAAAAAATTAAGAAAAACATTTCGATATTAAAGATTTAATTAATTTTGTTTTTCAAAAAATTGAAAAAAATAAAAAAAAATTAAAAAAAAAAAAAAACTCAAAAAAAAAAATCGTCGTCGCCTCTGCCGCCTCAGCACCACCACCTCCAGTCACCAGGGGAAAAAATGCCAAGTTCATTACGTATGCCATATTTATGGCAGAAAAAATGAAAATGTTGGCATTCGAAAAGAGAAATATGCCACTTTTTTGGCATTTTCAGAAAAAAATGGCATTTTTCTGGGAAAATGGCATTTTTTTCATCGGCCGGAGGTGGTGGTGCTGGAAGGTAGTACAGGCGGTGGGAAAGGCATCCATGTTTTTTAAAAATTTTTTTACGGAGTTTTTCTATTTTTTATTAATTTTTTTAAAAATAAATTTATTTTAAAAAAAAAGTCTTTGAATTTTTTATTTTATAAAAATTTTATAATTTTTTAATTATATTTATACGAATTTTTGAATTTTTTTCGAATTTATTATGAATTAAACATTTAATTATGGCTTTTGACTATTTTTAATTCATATTTAATGGAAGGGTAAGAATGGAATGCAAAAATAGGTATGTTTCCAATAGGACTCATATGGTCCTATTTTGGAATAAAAACATAGCAAGTCCTATTTTAGGTTTTTGCCATAGTTTTAGTCCTATTTGAACTAATTTCTATTTAATATTCATTTAATAAAGATGATATTTATCTTCTCTCTAAAAAATGACATTTATCTGGTATATCATCATTTTATTAAAAACGATATATCTACTAATGACAAGATTTGTTTGGTAGGGATTTTGTTAATTTACCGGACCATTTTATATTATTCCGAAATGATATGACATCCTTAGAAGTGAAAACTCTTAAAAAGTTGAGCAGTACATGTATGTTTGGTAGGGATTTTGTTAATTTACCGGACCATTCCCTACATTAATTAATTAAACTCCATAGTTTAACAAAAGAAGGGATCGGAGTTCACTGCACTCATCAATCAAATTTGTTTTTGTATACATGTATGTATGTATGTATGTATGTATGTATACAATCCACCGCCTTCATCTTCGCCTACCTTCAAAACTCTATTTCCCCCCCTGCCATCTTCACACTCTCCCGGACATCCTTTCCTTGTGTGACTCGGCTCAGTCTATCCGGCAACTTCAAGAAACTCATGCTCAGGCCGTCCTCCGCGGTGTCCTCCCCTCCAGCATTTCCGTATGCGCCACTCTCATTCTCCGCTACACCCGCTTCGGCTCCAGCCCCACAACCATCCACACTCTCTTCTCGCACAGCGTTGCCTTTGCTCTCTCTCCTTTTCTCTACAACACCCTCTTTCGAGCCCATGGGCTACTTGGAGTCTGTGCCCAGAGTGCACTTTCCGTGTATAATGACATGCTTAGCAGCGGTGTTATGCCGGATGATCATACATTCCCTTTTGTGCTTAAGCTCTGTTCCGACTTTTTTGAGGTCCGCAAAGGCTTAGAATCACATGGGATGTTGTTGAAGTTGAGTTTTGATTCAGATGTGTACGTGAACAATACTCTGCTTTGTTTCTATGGCAGCACCGGAGATTTGGTGGCTGCACTAAAAGTGTTTGATGAAATGCCAGACAGGGATTTGGTGTCGTGGAACACCATTATCAGGGTATTCTCTGACACTACTTGCTTCTACGCCGCACTTAGAGTGTTCAGGGAAATGTTAGCTTTGTCAGAGGTTAAGCCAAACGCGGTTACTGTGGTAAGCATGCTGCCCGTTTGTGCAGCGCTTGAGTATGGCAACATGTGTGGGCAGATTCATTGTTATATCTTCAAAGTGGGTTTAGATACTCAACTTAGCATTGGGAATGCATTAATTGATGCTTATGGTAAGTGCAGAGAGGTGGAAGCCTCGATACAGACCTTTGATGAGATGATCGAGAGGAACAATGTCTCATGGAATGCAATTATTGTTATTTTTGGCTGTAATGGCTGTTATAAACAAGCAATTATTAGTTTCAGGTTGATGATTAATGAGCACATGGATTTAAACTCCACTACAATCTCAAGCATTCTGCCAGTCTTGACCGAACTAGGCTATTTTTGCAAGGGAAGGGAAGTCCACGGTTTCTGTGTGAGGATGCATTTGGATAGTGACGTCTTTGTTGCAAACTCGCTTATTGATACGTATTCTAAATCCGGGCGTTCAATCGAAGCATCCAATGTATTTTATAATATGGACAAGAAGAATGCTATATCATTTAATGCAATGATTGCTAACTTTGCACAAAATTCACTCCAGCTTGATGCTCTGGCTCTTGTAAGGGAAATGCAAGCTGAAGGTAAAAATATGACATCTGTCACTTTCACTAATCTTCTACCAGCATGTGGCAGGCTGGCATTCGTTCGGCCCGGGAAGGAAATTCATGCAAAGTCACTTCGTAGCGGGTGTGCTTCTGATTTGTTCGTATCAAATGCATTGATGGATATGTATTCAAAATGTGGGTTTCTAAATCTTGCTCAAAATATATTTGACATTTCCCAAAGGGATGAGGTATCTTACAACATACTGATTGTTGGTTATTCTCTAACTAATTCTTGGAAAATCTCTCTTTCTCTTTTCTCCGAAATGGGCCATCTTGGAATGAAACATGACATGGTTTCCTTCATTGGGGCCCTCTCTGCGTGTTCTAATGCTTCTGAAATCAAGAAAGGAAGAGATATTCATGGTTTTGCCATGAGGAGATGTTTTCATTCACATCAATTTGTGGCAAATTCGCTTTTAGATCTGTACACGAAGTGTGGACGGATCGATATCTCTAGGAAGATCTTTGATCGTATGTCAGGTAGGGATACGGCGTCTTGGAACACCATGATATTAGGGTACGGAATGATCGGTGAGCTTCAAAACGCTGTGGATTTCTTTGAATCCATGAGAGACGATGGGGTTGAATATGATTCGGTTTCCTATATCGCTGTCCTGTCGGCCTGTAGTCACGGAGGGCTAATTGAAAAGGGAAGGAGATATTTTGATGAGATGGTTGCTAGTAATGACATTAAACCAACTGAGAAACACTATGCTTGCATGGTGGACCTTCTTGGACGGTGCGGCCTAGTTGATGAAGCTGTTTGTCTTGTTCAGAGTTTACCCTTTGAGGCTGATGCTAATGTATGGGGTGCTCTTCTTGGAGCTTGTAGGTTGCATGGAAAGCTGGATTTAGGTTGCTGGGCTGCCGACCAGTTGCTCAAACTGAAGCCCAAGAACTCTGGGTATTATGCACTGTTATCCAACATGTATGCTGAAGCGGGGAGGTGGAAAGAGGCAGATATAGTTAGAGAGTTGATGAAAGTAGAAGGAGTGAAGAAAATGCCCGGGTGCAGTTGGATTGAGATGGAGAAGGGGGTTTATGCTTTTGTTGTTGGGGAAAGATTCCAACAATTGCATTTGTACTCCCCTGTTTTGTATGATCATTCGAAGGGGGTGTTTGTATCTGATTCTTAAAACTGCTTCTACTCCTTAGAGCAGAAGCAGAAGTTGGAGTGTTTGGGTGAATGGGGTGAAGTACTTCTGGTCCTTTAATTTACTCCTAGAAGCAGTTTTTATAGAAGCTGGGGGAGACCATCTTCTTCTTTAAAAAAGAAACAGAAGCAGAATCAGTTCCAAACATCCCGGGAATCTAAGATTTGATTTGCTTCTGGGGCAGGCATTTCTACCGTTCAAAGTATGTATGTAATGTAATGTATCATCCCCACATTTTTATGTTTTCCTACTCCATATATGGGTCCGTTTGGGATAGAAAATTTCAGGGAAAGAAAATATGGATGAAGCTGGAGGGGATACAATATTACTGTATTTCGAAGTCATTTGATTTTATATTTTTGCAGACTCACGATCTTTGTTACGGAGTATTTGTTTGTTTTTATTACATATTAAAAAAAATACTCTATATATACTTCGTATTATATAAAGGAAAAGAAATTTAAACATATGACTTTTTTTCAAACACAGACGGAAATTAATCACATTTTAATTTCCTTTTGCATTTTCTGAGGTAAAACCAAACACAAGAAAGATAAACAATTTCATATCATTTTCTCTCCTTCTTTCGCTAGCATTTTTTGTCACAATTTGGAGGGATTTTACCAAGGTAAGTTAAAATTAAGCAATCAAATCACTTTTTACCTGCTGGTGTAGGTAAGGAGATGAAAAATTACCGGCACCAACAAGTAAAAAGGAGAGTTGATTACTTAATTTTCAAGGAGTTGAGGGGTATATATGCAAATCTTCCGGTTCATGGGCTTGGTTGCACAATCGCAAATAGTTCGAGGGCTTATTTGCCCCCTTTTCTAAAAAAATTATTTTGAAAATTAATACTCCCTCCGTCCCAATTTGTTTTGTAAAGTCAACATTTTTGGGTCAACCAATATTAAAAGTCAATGCTTCTTCTTGATAATTAATTCAATTTTTAATAATTAAAATTTACATATTCAGAAACTACATTAAAATCTCATCAAAGTTGCAAACTCTAAATTAGAATACTATTAAGAATTGACATCATAATTAAGCGAATAAAATGAAACTATTTGACCAAGAAAAGTCAAATTTGCAAATCAATTTGGGACGAAGGTAGTAAAAAATAGTAAAAATCCATAAAAACAAATAAAAAAATATGGATGCCTTTCCCACCACCTGTACTACCTTCCCGCACCACCAAACAAAAACGATTTTTTTATTAAAATATATTTTTTAATGGACTTGATATTAATAACAAAACATATACACTATTTATGTAAAATAATGGGGCAATTACACAAAACATATACATTCAAATCAATGTTTTAATTCTTATATTCTATTGTAGATAACTTACATTTTAATTTGACTCAAATTACATTTCTTATCAATGTGAGTTACATTGCTGGAAACACGAGTTACATTTGTAATGACTTGAGTTACATCAAAAAAATCAACCCCTCCTATGGAAACAAAAAAAATATGATTTTTTAAATCCGATCCCTTTTTATGGTCATAATATTAAAAACAAAACATATTCACGATTTGTGTAAAGTAATTGTGCAATTAGACTCTTTTTTTTTCATTGTTTACATTGAAATCAATATTTAATTTCATATACTATGTTTTTGACAAGTTACATTTCGAATGAACTTGAGTTACATCGATCAATAACGTAAGTTATATATTTTTAAACGCGAGTTACACCATTCACTCTACTTGAACAAAAAGAAAGAAAAAAAGTCACTGTACATGCGTGTACTGTTCACGCGATTTTTTTTTTAAATTGTTTAAAACTACGTCGTTTTGGGAGTGGAGCACGGTGCTCACCGTGGGACGATTCCACCGTATACGAACAGCTAAATATGTGGCCATAAATAATATACAAATTATGTGGCAACTAAATGTTCCCGCTAAATATTCATGCCCTAACAATTGCCCCCTTTCGAGAAGTTGAGATGTAAAGGTGCACATGTCCATCAATTAAGCAACAACTTTTCGAAATTTTGAAGAGAAATGCTTGGTGTACACATTTTTGTGTACATCTTTTGTACATTCGTCTGTCTCACGTACAAAATAGCCGAGTACATCAGCAGATGCCTTACTTGTCAGCAAGTTAAGGCAGAACATCAGCATCCAGCTAGATTATTACAACCACTTTCCATTCCTGAATGGATGTGGGAGCACGTGACTATGGATTTTGTGGTAGGGCTACCACAGACGGTTAAGAACTATGATTCCGTATGGGTTGTGGTAGATAGGCTCACGAAGAGTGCACATTTTCTATCTATCAACACCACCTATGCACTTGAGAGATTAGCCAAATTGTATGTGGATGAGATCGTGAGGCTACATGGGGTTCCAATAACCATTGTATCCGATAGAGATTCACGATTCACATCGCGATTTTGGCCAAAGTTCCAGGAGTCTATGGGAACAAAGTTGAAATTTAGCACTGCTTTTCATCCACAGATGGATGAACAATCTGAGCGGGTTATACAGATTTTGGAGGATATGTTGAGAGCCTGTGCATTGGAGTTCCAAAGGAGTTGGGGGTAAAATACATCCTACATCCGGCAGTACCTAGAGCATGGTACAGCCGAGTTTTTTTTTGCAATTAAATCCAACTTATAGGGCAAAAGTTAGGTTGATGGCTGCTACTGGTTTTCTTTTTCTCCCGCAATCTTCCGTTATTTTTCATCATTTTGCCGTTTTTCGTTGATAGCTGCTAGCCTGCTAAGGTTTTACTCCTCTTTCTTGTTTTCTTGATGATGGATCACCGGACCGGGGGTAGTCGGAATCCAAACAGAATAAGAGAGTGAACTGATCAGAAAACACAGATAGATAATCCGGCAGTATAACAATAAGAGGGTAGAGAATGCGATCCCTTTCCACAAGCTGGAAGGTGATATTTATACTAAGGGATAAAAGGCAATACTTGTTGCCCAAGTTAAAATATACTGATCAAATGGGAAGGGGACACGTGTAAAGCTATTCTAACAAACTATCAGTCTAATTCGATGGGGAGCAACCATGTAACACCCCGCCCCGTAGGACCCGAGGTAGTTACTCCAACACACCTTCCAGACCTCTAGTACTGTCCTCACAAACCGCCACTAGCCTTTTCCGCGCATTTTGTCCTCCCTCGTGCGCGCCCTGAGAAACTTCCCAGGGGGTCACCCATCCCAAGACTACCCCCGTGCAAGCACGCTTAACTTTGGAGTTCTTGGCTAATGAGCTTCCTTAAAAGGAGATGCACCTTGTTGGTATGAGTAGTACAACTAATCTGTTTAAATTAAATCTCGGCTATTAATCTGTTTAAATTAAACCTCGGGTCCTACGGGGCGGGGTGTTACAAGCCACGTGTAAAGGTGATTGGAGAGATAGTCTTGGACAGCTGGTTGATTGGAATTATCTCTAACAAACTTGATGGTCCCGGATAGGGTAAAAGTCTAGAGGGGGGGGGGGGGGGTGAATAGACTTTTAAATCTTTTCGACCTTTACAAAGATTTCCCTCTAGAGGAGTTGATCTATAATCTTTTGAGAGATTAATAAATGCACAGCGGAAGTCTTTACCCTTTATATAATGGGTGTTTTAACCACTTTCTGATCCTGGGAAGATTGGACTTAGATAGCTAGCAGTTGGCTTGGCAGTTGGCTTAACAGTTGGCTAGGTAGTAGGGAACTGCTGAGGCAACTGCTAGACAAGTACAGGCTTTATGATGAAAATGATGATGGAATATTGTTTAGGATGATAAGGGCAGTAGGACAATATCCTTTAGTTGAAAGGAAGCTACAGCTGTATTTCAGCAGTGGTCTCAGCAGTTGGGTGGTACTGAGGGAACTGCTGAGCCACCTGCTTGTATTATAAACTGGGATTCGTAGCTTAGTTCAAACTGCCTTCTTACTAGAGATGTTATGAGACAGTGATGATACTTTGGATGTTCACAGGAAGTAAGATTGTATGAGAAGACGGTTCATCAGTTGGGTGATCACCAGGGGACTGCTGAGGCCCTCTGCTATACTTCAAGAGTGAATTCCTGGAATCTGATAGAGCGACTCTTCTAGTGATTATGTGACCTTGTATAGTGTGATGAGGGCTTTCTTTAGACAGTGATGTTGTGAAGCTCTTGTGAAAAGGTTATCTCAAGAAAAAGTGAGTGATTAAGCAGTAGGATAAGCAGTTGGGTCAGTTAAGACAACTGCTTAAAATACTGCTGGCAAACTACAATTTCTTATACGAGAAGTGTTGGGTGTGTGCTTTGTTGACTAAGGAAATCAACACACGATATATCCTGGTTCAGAGGTGGTGTAATCCTCCTACATCCAGTCCCATCCTATTTCAAATGGATTTCACTAATGTATTAAGCCCAATACACTTAGTGCCAATCTAGCCTTGACAACTCTGGCTTAGATTGAAGGTGTTTCACGAGGAGTACAACACCACTCCAAGCTACTCAATCCTTTAGGTTTTTCTCAATTGATCCAGTGGGGATCAAAATGTACTCCTAACCTATCTAACTACACTCAGGCCGGGAACAACTGTCCTCCTGAAGTGTTTACAACATTTCTGATTGTGGTTACAAGAAAGTTCTAACCTCCAACTAGGAACTAAACTTCTATGATTTTGGCAATGAATACTTGATACTAAGAAGTTTAGTGAAGCAAGAGTCTAAGCAGAGAGTCGTGGATAGAATAGCACTTCTTGCTCAGTGAAATATCTCTCTACTTAGGATGCTCAGGCTTGGTTAGAAACTTTCGTTTCAGCCTCTATTTATAGGCTTTTTGGCTGATCAATCTTATCCGTTGGTTAGGATAGTTTGATCTCTTCCGTTGAATTTCTGGACTCGTACGAGTAGTACGTTTGTCTCTTGTGCTGCAGTATTTATGGAGGATGTTTCTGTCTCCAATAATCGCCGGGCATCTTTTGAGGGTGTGCGTCCCATGCGTGTAGGTCCATGTATCTGTTTAAGCATTTAAGGCAGGTATAGTTTTGTCTTCCAATCATACATATTCAGTGTATGATTTTTCGGGCCTTTCTCTTATTGTGACCAAGAAACTTTGTGCACAGATAAAATATACCGGTAGGATCTAAAATATCCTATTAAGGTAAATAAATATTACCTTATTGCATTTTTACTTTTCCGGTAATATTTTATTTGCATCAGCAAATTGTACATTTATGTGTCACTTCAGGATACAAATCAACTTCTAATGCCCACCATGTGTCTTTTCCTTTTTGTGACGAATTTAATTTGTGATGAAGTAAATATATACCGGTAGGATTTAAAAATCCTTTTTAAGGTAAGAATTACCTTATTGCATTTTGACTTTGCCGGTATAATTTACTTAATACAAATATTTTTCTTTTGACTTTTGGTCATTCTTGGTTGTGTGTAGCCCATCCCTT